AGAATATTTTGTATATTTAAAGACATAAAACATCATATATCTGGTATATTAAAAGAATATTAAGAGAATATATTGCCTATTTTATGTGACATAAAAACATTATGTTTTAAGGATTTTAAGAGAATATCAATCCGACCTCTAATGATAACTATTTATTAAACATTTACTCAAAAGTTATAATTATGCCAATGAAAGAATACAAGATGAATAAGAAAAATAAGGTAATCTTATTACATGAATTTATATTGTAAGAATACTTTTTACCACGTCCATGAACTTGGCCCACCTACATTACCCAATACAGTTCAAAAGTATGCCTAAAAATAGCGAATAATTAGCAAGTAATAGTAAGTCATTTTCACGGTTTATATGATACATTTTTGATCAGGTGGGCCAAGTTCAGGTAGCCCACCCACTTTATCCAATCCACTCCAAAACTATGCCAAAAAAATAGCAAATAATTAGCAAGTAATAGCAACTTAGTTTTCGAAATTAGCAAGTCAACTTGCTATTAGCAAATTAAAATTTGCACCGGGTGGGCCAAGTTCAGGTAGCCCACCCACTTATCCGATCCACTCGTAATGTGTGTGGGCCAAGTTCATGGACGTCTTTTTACCTTGCTTTTTAGATTATTTTAATGAATCTTCAACTTTTTAAAAGTATTTCACTAGTATTAGATACTATAATACTATGCATTTGAGTATTTATTTATATTGTAGAATTTAATGAGTTACGAAAATTAGATTATCTGGATTTTTAAATATAATATATCCAGAAATATCTATGTAAACACTTTAAAAATATAAACATGTCCCATGATATACACCTTAATAAAAACTCAAAAAAAGCTTCAGAACATAGGTAGTTATTATGTAAAATGTCTTAAATGAAAGTACTAATATTATATACCTAGGTACTAAGGTACCTACCGTCAGTTTAAAATTGACTAATTTATATTTTATATTACAACATCAAATATTTTTTTGTTTGCTTATGTATATTTTTTTATTAATTGAAATTAAAAAAATTGAATTATAGCTTAAATTAATTTTAAAATATAATATACATATAAGTTTTGGTCTTGGTTTTTATTTTATTTGATTTATAATTATTTGGTTACATGTGAAGTTATCTGATTCCATTAGTTTTAAGAATTCAATTCTTAGATAGGTGTAGGTGCACCTATGCACCTATACCTATATACATATTATAATGTTATATTATGTAATATTTATAAACAATATGAATATGACATATTAAAAATAATAAATATTTGTTATATTATTTAATGAACAACTTTTCAAATATATAAAATATAGAGTAATATTAAGTATTTATTTCTATGAACAAGGTTCGTCAACAGGGTTGGTTCTACATGGGCAAAAAAATAATTTTTTATTTATTCAAGTTTCCATGTACCTATAACCTACCTATAGTGTTTAAAATGTTGAGTTAGTAAAATCTAAGATACCTACATATTATAAGGCACATTTTTTAAACAAAGAATATTATTTATTTTTCAATTAAAATAAGATGTAGACATGTTAGTATACCTATATGTTAAATTTTTATAAGAATATAAATAGGTAATTAATACGGACCGTCTTTGGTTTTGAACTTCTCATCACACATTATGTCCCAATAGGTATCACCTCCGATGAGGTGTATATAATGAAGGATCCGCAACATTCACGTTGTCGGGGACGCTTATAGTGTGTATAGGCGCTTGTGGTAATGACCCTGTTATTTTTGATAACACTAAAAACTCGATTGTTGTTACGTAGGTACGAACTATTTAGTGACTTTACAACAGCTGTTACCTTGTACTTAATATTATTCTTGGACTCACTTATTCCACATATCGGAATATTTACCTTGTGACGTTTGAGTCCGAGTTTGTGTACCAGATTATTTGTAATACAATTATTTTGGGACCCATTATCAAGTAATGCCCGGCCGTGTATATAACTGCCGGCGGAACTTGATACCTTTATTATTGCCGTCGCCAACAGTACTTGATTGTCGGTTTCGCCGGCATCCGAGGTATGTACAACTACTAGCCCATCGTTTGACGCGTTACTTTGTGTACTTCCTTCATCGGAACTATTTTTTATCTTGGTGTAATAGTAAATTATGTGGTTTTTGACATTTTCCACATTTTCTAGCGGGACACTGTTTTACTTGATGGTCAGTTTTCTTTAAGCAATTACTGCACAACTTCAACTAATTGACTTTGTTTATTCTGGACGCTATATCAAGTGCCAGAAATACAGTACATCTATATATTGGTATACTGACACATATAACATTTCATTTTATACGTTGTTAAAAATGTCGACGCACCTTTTTTTGAAGCTCCAAATTTTTAGATTTTATTTGACGAACAATTGGGTTCATTTTGCTTAAATGTTAATAGTTTTGGGTTTTCTACAGACTCTAACATTTGACTTCTTTTACCCAGGAACTCCATCATTAATTGTACACTCGGTAAGTCATCTCTTGACACTTCGGCTTCCCATTGACGTATTGAATTTGTGTCAAGTTTCGTGTAAATGACATGTAGTAGTAATGAACCCCAGCTGTGTGGGTCATGATTTAAAGCATTTAATGCTGGTATATGTGCATTTAGCGAATCAGTTAATTGTTTTAACTTAATGTTAACTCGATTCTTTATTAATAGGCACCAGGTTGAAAATGCGCTTCGTGTGTGTTTGAATCAACATACGAGTATTATTGTATCTCGTAGTGACTATTTTCCATGCAATTTCATAATTTGATGACGACGTTTCTAAATTTATAATTAATGAACTAGCTTCGCCTTCTAGTGCATTTCTTAAGTGACAAAATTTCTGAATATCTGATATTAATTTATTTGTATGTACTAATGCGCAAAATATATCTTGAAACGTAACCCAATCATCGAATTTTCCGTAAATGTAGGAATTTCTATAAGTTTTATTAATGGAAAATTATGACTATTTGTGACTTCACTTTGATCACCCTGTATTTGTTGTAGATTTTGCACAGGCGCGGTGCTTCTCGGTAATCTATCGTCGACTTTTGATATTACATCGAAATATAGATCTTCGAATGCAGACCTATATTGTAATTGGTCATTATTACTATCGTCTAATATTTCGATACTGTTTTGAATTGCGTCGAATTCGCTCCATGCTTTCTCGGCCCTTAATCTTAATTGTTTTAAAACGTTGGATTTTGGATCATTCAGAAACGTTTGAAACGAGTGAGCTGCGCTGTTATTTGTCCACGACGTAGAACGAATGCAGTCATGAAGAATCCCGGGTTTGGTCCCTTGCGGCTACAACCGTGGACCTCAAATTAGCGCTGTGCGCTAGTCGAGAGCCGCGGAGGTTCACGGTCGGTGTACGGTGGCTTTACCCACCGGCCGCACGTCGTCTTAGGACCACGAGCACCGGGCGCACATCCGTTCCCACCGAAGTCGGGAGAGGGTGAGCCCGTACCGTTGGCTGAGGCGTGCACGTGCCCTTCGCCACCCAGATCGGGTCGCAAGCTATCCTCATTGCTTCCCGTTTTTGGTCACGGGCAACCTCCGGTGCATATAGCGCCACCAGTAGGCTGGGTGGGCGCTAAGGAGATACTCGGAAGCCTTCCCCTAGACCGAGCTTGGTCTTGTAACCACAAGGTTAGCTCCTGCTAACAGCCACTCCGAAACCAATCCACCGTCGACCGCGCCTTGGCCAAGGCCGGTGCGCAGCCGTCGTGTGAGGGCACGGCGTTAATTGCTCAACGCCATGGGGCTCCCCCACATCCCGAAGTACCATTCACGCCACCGTTAGGAGGGCCCATCAATGGTGGGATGGTCGGACCGAGCTTCTTCAGCGGAGGGCCTCAGCTGTGGTCCTACCGAGATTCGGATCATGTATCGGGCCCTAATCAGCAGCGGTCGCCTCTGGCGCGGTGGCCGTGACCCCCGAGTTAGAGGCTCGGTAGCCTATACTACGCCTCCCAGAGGCATCACCGAGGTGATCGACTAGCTCTTCTGGAGGTCGCAGTCAGAACCTCCGACACCCTAGTCCCCGAAGGTTTCGGTGTGTCCGCGTCCCAGACGCCGGCCCCGCCTGGCCAGTTCCCTTTTAGTCGCCTCTTACGACAAGTAGGGAGTACTGTCGCTGAATTCTTGGACGGTCCCTGGCCTTTTTTGAAGTAGTCAGTTCTACCGTCCACCAGGGCTGTTTTTCTGCTCTTCGGCCTTCAGTGCTGATCCGCGGCATTTAGTCCGCAGCCGCTTTTTGTATAGCACCGATAGTCGTACGTGCGTATCGACCGTGGTCCTGTCAATTTCTGTGCTTCTGTTGCTCAGACTGAAAACAAATTTAGCCCAGTCAGCCTTTTATATCCCATTGGTATTGTATCGATAAGACACTTCCCTATACACCCTTTCGGTCCTAAGGTCAACTCTGTAAGTTAGCACATTGTGATCACTGTCGGTTTTATCCACAACCGCCCAATCACGCACCAGATTAGCAATTGGTGATGTCGCGAGGATGACATCAATGTTTTACGAGTTCATGCCTTCTCGTTCATAAGTGGTTATGTTACTTCGCTGGTTTAAGACGGTGAGGTCGAAGTCTTCTATTAGATCTCTGGTCTGACTTCCTCGATCATTGGTGTCACCGAAGTGCCAAAGCGGTGAGTGACCGTTCACGTCTGCTTGGACTAGTGATCTTTGCTCACCGCTTAGTTTTTCAATTAAGTTATGAGTCGGCATGTTATATTTAAAATATTCCGACGTATTGATCGCTTCGATATCACTGTCTCTACATATTTTCACCGCAACGATATGTTGGCTGGATAAATCCGCTAACTCGATCACCCGCAGCCTGGGGTCGAGGATTATTATAACAGCACCTGGGTTATCACCACTCATTGCCTGCCTACAATTTTCGAATGTTTAAGCAGCTCCATTTATTATAACGGGTTCTTGGATAAGGACGATATCCTCGGATATTTCATCGCAGTTATCCCTCAACTGCTGGCTGGCAACTTTTTGCCTGTTCGTGTTGTGCTGAATGATTTTCACAGGTTCGGTCATTGCCGGTTAGGCAACCTTGTTTTGAACACTCTGGGATACTACAACCACCCAGTGGACCGTATCGCCGTTCCGGGGCCAAATTATGGAGCGGAATCATATTGTTTATATCCTCATCGGTCAGACCGAGCTCTGCGTTTTGTGCAAGAAGACACTCGGCGAGCTCTTCCTTAACAATGCCGCTTTCTACGTCATAAATAATGACTCGCGGCTTCTTCGGGCCAATCTCTTTAACATTTTGCAAGCCTCGCATCACCTCCAACGTATTGGCATCGTCGGGTATGATAATTATCGCCTTTCCACAAACAATAGTCTTAGCCTTGGGGTTGTTTATTTTGGCTTTGACGGTCTGCCACACGTCGGCCTTCGCGCTTTCCACCATAATTTCATGGGGTATTTAAACCATGAACGTGATGTCGCTTTAACCCGCCTACTCTTTTTCAACTGTCTTCCTAGACTTCTTCGCTGAGGTTACAGCTTTAGGTATTGGCGCGACAGCGGAGTATGTTGACCTCTGCTGCAAAGGTGGTTGGCTAGGCACCTCTTTTGAATTCTTCAGCGCCTCCAGCTCGGCCCTCAGGCTTCTGGTTTCGGCGTTTTTAGCGTCAAGTTCATTTGTGAACACTGATAAACTCTACTTGGACATTCTCTTTGATCCTTTAACTCTCCAGTTAACCTACTGTTTTCGTGAGTAATCACCTGCGTCAGAGTTCTCAGCCTGCCCAATTTGCTGATCATTTTCTCCGCTATTTGTACAGTGTACACTTACTTTCTTTTTCTCCCTCTCGGAGACAACTGTCTGCTAAAACCAGCCCAGGAGATCACTCAACTTTCCTGGATGATTAGACGTTCTTGGTTGTTACCAAAACAACTGGTAACCTGGGTTTAGTTTTCACCAGGTGACTTCTTGGCTGTTTAGCTACGTGGTCACCTGGGGAAGGGGGTCCACGCTTTTTAGCACCCACGTCACCACTCATGCCTGCAGCATCTGACATGACGACGTTATCGTCGTCATTGTCACCTTCTCCCCTAAGTCTGAGGGGGCCAGAGTAGCAATGTTTGTTAGTGTAAATCGTATCTTCATAATCTATTCTTTCCGTTTCCATGTTCAATTTCGCATTTTTGGTACCTCCACTTGATAAGGACCGAGGGGACGAGTACCGCTCCCCACTGCCCGCAGTTTTTCCTGGACTCCGATCAGGAAGTGTGTTTTTTTATTTGGTGTATTTTCATAATTTTGTTAGTTTTAGAGGTGTTGTCCCAGGTAGCCCTGCACCCTCTGGCCGCCGGCGGGCTAGTTCGGCGGTTGCAATGCCATGCTTGGGGTTAGAAGTCCGGAGCAGGCCAACTCTTGACAGTTGAAAACCTCTTAGCGAACTAATTCGGTTGGGGTCACCACGACAAAGTGGGCTTTCGTCTACCCCGTACGATTGCAGTCAGTTCGTCGGTATCACCAGTCATTATGACCGACCTTTACCCGCTGTCTACCGATTTTACTGATATGATATTGTGGATATTATGGACTTAAATAATGTATTCCGCAACAATGTTTATTTTAACGCAAGGACAGGATATTATAAATTATGGAAATAAGGCATTTTAATTTTAATAGTTGATAAAGTGCTATGTGCTATAGACTCACTCACCTGTCAGCTGTCTTAATCCTTGAATTGCACAGCTTTACCTCTTGATCTTCCACCATGGACTTGTAAATTAAATTAGTAACAATGTGTGTAACAATATTGACGCACACGATTCGATCCGGCCCGAAGGACCAATGTTTCGGCTCAGTTTGAATTTTAATAAATTTATATAAAAAAAAAAAGCTAGTGGACTGTATAATTGTAATTAGTTACAATGTGTGTAACATTTTATTTATAATAATTTGTATAATAAACACTATTTTAATTATTCTAAAGATATGAGATTGATAATTATTACATTACGTCACGTATATCGACCGGCATTGTCACCGACGCGTCGTTGAGATCGAACTTTCGACCCGTGCCTTTTATTTCTCGACCCAGGGCCACATAATAAGTATTATCAACATTCCCACGATAACGATGGTCGTCGATAATACTTATTACCTCAACATTGAACAGTAGGTATCTGTGTATTGTACTACTATAAAATTACTAAGTGTTGTACAAAAAATGTAATCCCATAAACATAATATTTTTGTTAGAAACTATATCTATAACTATATCCATGACTATTCATCCAATAGATCTTCCTTGAATATCCCTCTTCTTTCTTCTCGCCGTATAGAGGCTGACCTTTCCTTTGTCACCTCTCTTCTTAATGGCACTGTTGATGCCCCTGACCTTCTTTCCTCTATCTCTTTCCGCGTTCCTGTACTTTACACTAGAAAACACTCACTTTTCCTTGTCCCTTCTCACCGTTTCAACTACTCTCATAACCATCCTTTACACAGAATGCTTCGTCTGCTCAATAACTCATAGATCATGATATTTTAAATGTATATATTACTTAAGTTAGTTAGTTTTTAGTTTCATTATATTGTTATGTTTTTATTTGTACTAAATATTTAGTTGTTTGCTCTGTAAATTACTATGTTTCACCTCGTTTTTTATATAATATTACTCTATCACATTATTACTTAATCTTCTCTGTATATAACTTGTATTGTAAATCTCTTGAATTGCCGATTGGCGTTAGATAAACAAATAAATAAATATATATATCTATTAGCAACAATAAAATATTTACAAAACTGTCTCAAATATATTATAATATGCGGTTGATTTTAGTGGGTATTTTCAATAATTATTTATAATGACAACATCGTTTAACCATAGACCTATAAACTAATGGACAGCGCTTAGAGACAGAGGTCAGGGGTACGATTTACAGTATTAGTTTCATACGTCTATGATTTCCCCCATTATGTTTTTTCTCTCTTTCTCTTATATGATTGTCCACCAAGATTCCCTAAAAATGTTCTTTCTCACTCACTCTATATTGGCGCCACTCATTGTTGGCTGAGTGGTGAGTGAGGTGCAGTCCATTAGTTTATAGGTCTATGCGTTTAACCAACCACAATATTTACCATAATATATTATATTGATTCTATAATTTTACTGAGGCTATACACGAAACAATTTGTCGACAAATTGATCATTAGACTCATTGTTTAATAAGTACCTTAAGTCATAATCAATCATCGATAATTTCACACAAACTTCGATTTATTTAACGACCATATTATTTTGATCATGAGACACTTAAGTGAAATTTAAATAGTGCGTGTAGTACAGTCGAACTTGATCAACTCGAAGTTAAAGGACGAACAAAAAAGATTTAGTTGCCATTTAGAATCCAAGAATTTGAATAATCCAAAACACCAAAAATAAAAAATTAGGTAAGACATTTTATAATTTTAGAAAAAATCAATCTTCGACTTATTCACGAAAATATTACTTTTAAACAAGATTTGTTTGCATTATTTAATTTGAAAATTCTAGGGACCGTGGAAATAGTTCGAGGCGTATTGACGATTTCTAGTTAATGAAGTTCGAATGCATTGGATACAGGCTAAACAGAATTTAAGTCTACGCAACGACGTGTCCGTAAATGTGCAGGTCGCAGAAGTAAAGGGATCAATTTAACAAATCGTTTTGTGAATACAGTATTAATAATAGTATATAATGTAGAATCGCTTACTTGCATGAAGTTGTGATTTTTTTGGAAAATTTTTCACGTACTACAACGACTGCACTTTGACTAATGACTAATTTTTGTTGTCACTACAGTCGTCATTTATCGATACTGATAGGTCTGAGATAGTGATGGGCGATTTAAATCGATTATTTTTAGATGTGACTAGTGAGTTAATTAGTGACTGTTCAAGTTGAGGCTGATTGCTCGTCCAATGAACGCTTGTCCATCAGCTCTCCTCGATGGGTCTCTGTCCCTGTCCCTTCCATTAGTTCACAAGACCTTACATGGTCATCCTGCGGTTAAGCATATCGTGGGATTTGTCACCCGGTCATCGTTCTTGCGCGTGTCAGATGTTATCGGATAACATCTTGTTATTTGTGATGTAATTTAATATAACAGCACGAATCCTAATCCACAGTATTTTAGAATTATTTATATACGTAGTCATATATCTATTGCCACGCGCCGTTCATGGTCATGCGCTCGATATTATTAGTTTCGCGCTGTATTTATGATATCGCCTCTCTACTACACACGTACTGTATACAATATGGTACCAGCGATATTATTATTATGTATATGAATTGGTATTATTGAACATAGGAAATAAGCAAGGATGTAATAGTTAGTTAACAAATTAGAAATGTAGTATTTATAAAACATGTAGAATTACGAAATGAAATGATTATTGTAAATTAGTGTAAACAGGTACAATCCCGAAACTGCGAGTAAGCACTTTTTATATAGAAGGAATTGTCCTACGTAAATTTAGATATAAGGAACATTAAGATTGAAAGAGAATTAGTGGAGAATGGACAGTGCCATTGCCTGTATATGTTCAACTCAATAAACTTTATAACTGAAAAGACGTGTGTTTGTAACTTTATTTAATAAATCTATATTCAAACTCTACAAGTACGAGGCTACAGTCAACCGAATTGTAATATTGATGGCAGCGGATCAAAAGAACCATTAATTCGAACGAGACGCATCTTTCAATCAGGGTGAGTTAAATTGTTTTTGAACCAGTCAAGGTGCATACTTCCAGTCAACTACGGATCATTCCACTAAACTACATAGCATTCCATTCAACTACAGAGCATTCCAGTCAATTACAGAGCATTATATTCAACTACAGAGCATTCCGGTCAATTACAGATCATTCCAGTCAAATTCGAAGCATTCCAAACAAATTCAGCATTCAACGGTGTCAAAGACAGTAGAGGAACAGTAGAGGAACAACTTCAATAATGTTAAATTTATTGGTATTGTAAGTTGGTTTATATATATATTTTAAGCATATTTATAAGTTTCTATCCATATTTTTCTATTTATATTTAATTGATGAGTGACGAAAGTGGTAGTATTAGTAACACAACACAGAACGATAGTAAAGACGAAACATTTATTCCAGATAGGTCATTTGATTCTGATGATAGTAGGCATAGCGAAAGTAACCAAGTAGAAAATACAGTGCAAAATCAGAGTACTTTGTTAGGACTTCAAAATCCAGATACTGGTAGGAAAACATTACATTTGCAAATACAACGTAGACGGTTAGGAGTACCAGCAGAATTAAGTTCAAACATCGTTAAGGAAGATATTTCTTTTGATAGTAGTACTCAGTCGTACAGTTTTGTGCCGAATTTGGATCAAACATACTATACGACCTTGGATTTAGCGAGCGGATACCACCAA